GAGAGAGAGAGAGAGAGAGAGAGAGAGAGAGAGAGAGAGAGAGAGAGTGTTACCAACAAGTCAGGCTGGGCTTGCCCTCTCACCTTAAACAAATGACCTGAAAGTCCAAAAGTTGATGCAAGGACTGGAAGGTTTATTCAGATTGCCAGTACTCAACTAAATGTCTAACCAAGCAAACAGAAAAGAGGAGCAGTGGGGTCTAGTTTAGCCTAGTCCTAATCGGTGGGGCCAACTTATTCCATTAACAGTAATTGATAAAAGCAGTCCTCCCCACTGTTTTCAGCATAAAGAAGAAAAGTATTGACTAGATTTAAATCAGAAAAACAAAGCATAGCCAGGAGCCCTCCAGGGTGAACCTATACAGATGTGGATTCAATCCAACCAAACAGAAGAAGGCTCAGAAAAATCAGAGAAAGGTAAAGAGAATAAAGCATTGCCTTGTCAGGATTTAGGCCAGGGACTCCAGGAGAGACATACCAGCAGCAGAGACATGGGAGCAAGTGGCCCCATGGGAGCAAGTGGTCCATAGTCCCAGTGGCCACTTGCCTCTTGCAGCTAGAGTCTTTTCTGGTGTCCAAAGCTTTCCAATTTTTGCCAGTGATTAAATTAGGCTCTCAGATTCAAAAGTCATACAAATAAACAAAGTACGCAAATAGTAAAGCAAGCAATACTTTATTAAAAGAGGAGATGGACTTATGCATAAGGGGGGTAGCGACAGTAAAGCTAGCCCCCCAGGGGAGCTGTTCAGGGTCTTTTATAGGGAAAGGAATTAAGAGGTGGCAGGCCAGTGTCACTGGACGTGGTCCATTCTGTTCTTCCTGATTGCATCTTGGGCACATGCTCACTAGGCAGTGGTGTTCATCATTGTCAACCCAGGAAGGTCATTGTAGCAGTCACCTTGATGCTTTGTGCACAGGTGGGAATTCCTAAAGGGGTCTTAAGGTTAATCTGTAACTTTTATAATTGTAGTAAACAAGCCTTGGGGAGGGGTTTTGCAACTCAGTAAATATCTGTTTCCTCTCTTATTTCAGTCTGTCCCGGGCAGCCCACGGGGTAATTATTTGCCCTGACGGGACTCATGACTGAGGAGTGGAAAAGTAACAAAGTGTCCTCTGCAGGGAAAATGGAGTCAGTTTGGTTCACAGGCCTAGCCTTATGCTGTTTCTAGTTAAACGTCAGGCACCCCTGCTCCCCAACCCCACACTCCCTCTGACTGCAGAATAAAATGGAGAGGCACTTACCTGGCTGGTGGGAGGCAGAGACAGGGTTACCTGAAGCTTTCATACTCAAAGTGTGGTTTCCTGAGAGCAGCACTGGCATCACTTGTTAGAAATGCAGGTTCTTGGGACCCCACTCCAGATCTCCTAAATCAGAATCTACATCTTAACAAAATCCCGAGGTGATATATATGCACAGTAAAGATTGAGAAGTACATCCCTGGACACAGAAAGCACAATGTTTTTACTAAGATTGTTTGTTCGTTTGGGATGGTTTAAGAAGGTAGAAGAAAATGTATGTGGGGGATGGGGGTAATGCTCCCCAAGATGTCCTTTGGTACCATCATGGTGCCTTGCAGGATAACAAACGATTGGGCAGGACTGTAAATGACTATGGGTAACCAGTGAGGCTCAGAAATTGCTGCTAATGACGGAGGGCTTGGGGAGAATGTGGGGGGTGTGGAGGAAGATGATCTGGGTTTTTTTTTTCTCTGTGTGGCTTCTTTAATTTAGGCTGGGAGGATCTCACTGCAGTGCTTATGTCTACCAACTGTTAAAACAAATCATGCCAGAAAATCTGGTTCTGCTTGACATGGCAGCCATCCACGGCCAAGTTAGTGATAACCCTCCCCTCATACATGAGCACATACTCCTCATTCTCAGAAGCAAAAGCACACTCCCCATGCCCCCACTCCTGTTCCTGACACCCTTGCTCAACTGGGGACCATCTCTGGAAGCTCACCTCGGGACAGGGCTGTGGACAGATCTTAGGAGGTTTGCAGCCTCTGAGGCACTCCTGGAAAGGAATGGCCTGTAGGAAAGCCCTCTGCAGGAAACCAACAATAGTCATGGAGCCCTGAATGCCCACCGGGGTCAGGAAACCAGCAAGTAGCTCCAGCAGCAGGCTGGGCTGATCACAGCAGAGCTGCCACCAGGGAACGGAGAGGCTAAGGGCC